AACCCATTTTTGTTCTCGTGCAAAATTCATTTTTCCCTATTCAAAAGGCTTCGTTGAATTGTTGGTGTTCCTCTGTTTTTCTTTGACCATCGGCGGTGGTTTAAAGTTGGGATGGAGGCGGAATTGACGAATCAAAGGTGGTGGAGAAGGGACTGGAGAGAGTCAACGTTTTTGACTGAGTGAAAAAAAATTAGAGGGAGGTCGAACTTCTTGAATTAAAAAAATATACAATTTCAAAGAAAATGATGTTCTATATAGAATATAGCACTGGTGTTCAATAAAATGTCAATATAGATTGTAAACGTTTCATGCCTTCTTTTTAATGTGATTGATTAGAGATAATGTTATCCTAATTCTAATTAAGTCGGTTGATTTCTATCTAGGATGCCAAAGTTAACTTTGAACCCGAAGTCAACAGAAACCTCGTTTGTGTTGATTTTTTATAAGTTTGTTGTAAAACAATCATCTAATCTTATGTTTATGTATGAACATCTGTGTATATGTTTCTACAGATTCTATAATTGTCTTGTTTGGGTTGTAGCAATATTTTTGTCCGAACAGAGGCCAGTGTCAGAATTTGTTCATCACAATCGCATACAGGTATGACCCTTTACGTTGATGTGAGCATTTACATCTATTAATATATTGTCTTGTAACATAACTTTTCTTGATCAAGTTCTCGTGGGCTCGATTGACAGTGTCTATAAAGTAAATTTACGATTTTTTTCATATTATTGTTGTTTCTTATAGCACAATTATCTAATTTTATGCATTTCCATTGAAGCTAACTTTATGGATCTGCATATAATGTTTAGGATTCAGTCATTGTTAATTCTATAATAGAAAAACTCTTTATCTTTTCCCTCTTTTTTTGGTCCAAGAAATGATGTTAATTTATTGTCATTTGATTTTTTTGCCATGTTCTAAAAAATGTGAAGCGGCGTGCCTAGGCGCTACGCACGACCAAAACGCGTCGAATTCGGGAAATACGGGAAAAATGCGTTTTCCAACTAAAGGCGCGCCTAGGTGCGCATTATCCTGCCTCATCCCTTTTTTTTTTTAAATCTATTTTTTTTATATATTAAAAAATCTATTTTTTTATATAAAAATATATTTAATGCCTTAAAAATACGAAACGCATTATGACGCTTATTCTTCGCATTGACACGCCTAAACTTGTGATTCTTGATTCTCGGCCTCGACGCTTCGCAACGCAT